TGCTACTGTTTTAGACAAAGTACCGAATTACCATGCCTTAGGCCTTTAGGTCCCGTAAATGAGTCCCACACTAGCCATGTGATGTCACGATCGCCGCGCGTGCGAACACTGAAGTTGACATTGCAAGTACAAATCAACACCGAAAAGCATATTCTGAAAGGGTATCTCCAGCAGATATATAATAAAAACAAACAGTAAAGGTTAGATGATACATAATAAAAACAAACAGTAAAGGTTAGATGATCGAAGCTCTGCTGGATCACAAAAGTTTGTAGCAAACAGCGAAACGGGAAGGGCCATTGTGAAGTAAGCAGGCGCTCTAAAGTTTCAACACGGACCAGACAAATTTGTTCGGCAGCGTTCATACTTCGCGACAGCAGCGGCGATCGCCGCGATCGTCGGTACGTGGCAGAGCGCGCCCCAACGCTATTATGGACTGCTCGCTTGATAAATAAGGAAATCCAACTTGTGAGACCTTCTCTTAATAATGGCTACTAACTGATAACTTACGACTTTCTATACATAAGCGGATCTGGAATATGAGGTAAGGAGGTTTCACTTCTTTTTAGGTCGGGATAAGGCCAACTCCATTTCCTGGGTGAGCTTCTTTTTGTTTCTTTTGTTTTTATTGTTTCAATTTATGCAAGCGCCTTAAAATTCCTATCGTCTGAACTGTTCCAACTTCCAAAACATTTATAGTTTACAAGTCGAGTTCAAACAACGAAGAAAAAAAAACAGAAAGAAACTCACCTAGGAACCAAAACACTAATCATTTTACGCAACATCAACAGGTGAAAACTTTATAACCTCATGTATAAGCTCGACGAATGAAAAAAGAAACAATAAAAACCTACCCTAAATGAAGCTCTCACGCTTTTTGCTCATTTCTATCCTGAATCAAGAAAGAAAATAGAAAACAAAAGCCATTAAGTTGGGTTCACCTTTCTTTGTGTCAAACCAAGCTTCAGTACCTAAGAAAATTGCAGTTAAAGGAAAAAAGCATGAAATTGAGTCGCTTCTTCCCAAAAGCCTTCGGAGCGCAAGTAATAGCGTTGGGGCGCGCTCTGCCATGTACCGACGATCGCGGCGATCGCCGCGATCGCCGCTGCTGTCGCGAAGTATGAACGCTGCCTTAGGCTTGTTCAGATTTATAAGACAGAAGTTAATTTGAGCAGATATTGGCAGAAAGTAAGCTTGTTCTGCAGCGAAAAAAGGCGCAATCGTGGAAAACCAGCCTATTAGGTCGCGTTCATACTTTCCGACATTTTAGACTAGGAGAATCGGACAAAAAGAGTTCTCTATTAAACTCCGAAGTCCTCAGTACAACTTTACCCTCTTCTATTTTTTCAACCCCGTTGAAGTCCTCTTCTTCTTATGAACTTTTCTTTCCCTTTGTAGTTGGCTATAAACCTTTCGTTATCCATCCTACATCAGCGTTCCGTGGGTGTGCGGTGTGGGCTAGGAACAGCTCGTTCTGTGATCCATCTTAAGATCACCGTGTTTAATCAAGCCCAGCTCTTATCTTTTTATTTGGTATACTTTTTTCGGCCTACGTGACCGACATATGCCAGAAGAGCGCGCGGCTTCGGACAACCCTCCTGATTATAAGAATTGATCACAACTTACAGCATCCCATTTATTGTTCGCTCGCGCGGCGATAGCAACGTCTCGCAGAGATGTAATGACGGACTTGGAGTTAACAAGCGATTAAACCCTAAGACGGGTGCGCGGAATACGTCTGTGGCACGATGCAATCCGCAGAGCCTGAGCAGGGATGCTGCCCGCTAGCACAACACAGATACCCTAGGGCCCTATCAAGCTCAACATACTGAACGACGCCCACCACCCGCCCTCAGAAGGCCACGACCGTACCTGATGCTTGGCTATCGCCTCATTTTGCCCTAAGTAACAAAAATGATGCACACACAAGCGATTGATCATTGAAGGACCAATGCCCTGCCCATAGATAGCGTCATTAACATATGTCGAGCCCACCTAGTTGCGCGATCTACTGCGCACGATGCCTACGGAATTCATCCGGGAGCTTTGGTCACTAACTTAAGAGTTCAACAGGTTATTCTCCGCAAGCTTCTGACCGGTTTCACTATCGTTTTTCCGCTATTCGGTTCCACATTATACAGCGCCCTGCTGACTAATTTTAGGTCGGGTATATACTTATCGTCCCCAACCGCCTACAAGGACTTTAAGGGTCGTTCACAGAGCTGTTTTATACCGCAAACAAAAAGTGAGCGATAAGCATTACAATCCATAACAACTTAGCAGTCTGGGGTGGCACTGAATTTGAAAATCGGCCACCTATACGCGTAACTGATAAACAGTTGCGTGTGATGTACGCCATCAGGTTGATAATCCTTATTTGAAACACTTCCACACACCTTTGAACACGGCGCTGACACGCCTCTACAAAAACATACTGTACACGTCGAAGACTGTGGATGTATTTCCACGAGTGGACTTCGTCGCACAGCCGCACTAGCATTGCGAACTCTTTCCTCTCAAAAGTTAAGACCGACGAACGACAGTTCGCGTGCCCGAATGCTTCCCCGATTCCACCGGCGCTATCCTTAAGGTGCAACATTTGTGCCCATACCAAAATACCGCAGCGAACACGTACTCAGAGGTTGAGAACAACCAAAAGTGAGAGGAGGACAGAACAACTTGAGCTTTTTTTCATGGTGGGCGTGGGCTGTCCTCGCACCATGAAGCCTCACGAGGAAGGATACCGATTCCCACGTATCACTACATCTCCAGCCTCACCTCCGCTCTGAGCAGGATTAGAAGCGGTATGCTACATTATCGCATTATTGTAGCTGCTACATTACTGCTGCGTCAACTCAATGGCAATAACTAGAATTCACCGAGGTGAGTGTACAGTTTGTCTCGTCCAGCAACTGTACATATCCTAGCAGTCCGCCCAAAGGCGATAGGTAGGGGAACGAACCATTCGAATTAGCATTGCCCTTCTTTCACAAAAATCTACAAACAATAGGAAAAACTATGTTTAATAAGTAACAGAAAACAAAACATCTGCGTCAGTGGTCGAAGAAATTTTGGCTAAATCTCATCAATGATGAGATAATGTACACTGGTAACCTAGAAACAAAATTGGTATTTTCTTCCAAGAACATATTGACATAACTATTAAAACTGTCCTGGAAAAAGCCTTGAACGGAGAATCATTGACAAGAAACAATGAAAGGAGTGAATGAAAATTTCTGTCAATTTTTCGTCACCCGAAAGAGCAGATTACCTAAAAGCTCGACTTAGCAAAGCTGAACAGAATGATGCTAGAGTATTATTACGTATATTTGCTCGTTATTTTATATACCTCTTGGAAAAATTCGTCTGATTTTCAATCTAAAATCAAAAGTAACACAGTGGCCAGATGCTAATCAGAGACTTTTTTGGTAAAACCACGGCCCTATCGACAATTTGTCGCACGCGGAACATAGCGAGCGGATTTAAAATTCGTTATACAAGAATTTGAGACAAGGCTCCCTTCTGTATGCTAGGTGGACGGGTCCTTTTAAAAGTAGAAGCGCACCACCCTATCCTCCCAAAGTAAGCAACACTGAAGCTAGAAGTTTATGATAGGTTGATAGTCGTTCCGCTTGGAATCGCTAGTAGATACGTTACACACACGCCATAGCCACGCAACACGCCATACAGCTAGCCTAGCGTTCAGACTTCGCGATGACGCTCGTCGACTCGCAACGCGCAACAATTGCAACATCGCTACAGTCCTATAGACGCTAACGCACCCGCAGATGGAGATCCATCGATGGCTTGTGTATTGAGAGTGAGGGGTGAAATGGAGGGTACCTATTGACTGATCACGAGTCTGGCATCGACCGGGACCGACCGCTAGGGCGGCGCCGGTGGCGTCGATCGATCTCTCTCTGCGGCTGAGTTTGCATTTACAAGATTGCAGTGTTTTACAATGAGAGCGCGTTGCGCGTCGATGCGCATCATTGCGAAGTCTGAACACTGGGATAATGTATGGCGTGTTGCGTGGCTATGGCGTGCGTATCAGGTATCGAATAGCGGACAGACTTATAATGAGCATCAAGCTACTGCAAGCTTCTAACTAGATTACAGCTAACTTTCAAGTGGCTGTGCTACACTTCCAATCTGATTCCACAATCGCCAACTTCAACACAATACCTATGAAGGGAGAAAGATCGTACACAATGCCCAATTAGCGCCTAAGCAAAAAAAACTCACGGGACAAACCGCCCACTTTTGGTATTGGGCCACGCCCACTTTTTGGTTTCGGACCAGTTTGTTCAGGCCACATGATTGATAAAGATAATGTACAAAGTAACGAGCTCGATTATATCTAATGTACGTCATACGTACCACAGAAATTCAAAGCAGAGAAAAACAATTCGCACATAGGTTCGACTAAATATCACAACAAATTCATAGCAAATAAGTGTTCAAGTGCCTAACAATTTGCGATAAAGTGCAAAGAAAGAAAAAAAAGCGGTGAAAAAAGGGAGAGCCTGAAAGGCAGCGATCAAACAGCCACTGGATGTTGTGCAATTTGTTGCACAGTATTGTTGCAACGGTAGCAAATATACGACGGCAAAGATTTTGCACTCTCGGCTGTCATACCAATACACACGTAATGATACCAACGAGCGCAGCCAGCTTCGCACAATATCCATCCCACGGTTTCACCTAAACGCACCTCTCCTTAGGAACCTTGAGTTTATACTGTCAACGATGTTCACGGAAATGAAAACTGAAAGGAGACACAGCATAGTTCGGCTTGGGATGGGACACTTCGCATTTTGACCACTTCCCATGTCGTAATGAACCATCAAAACATTTGTGAAACACTGTAAAGCCATAAGGTGATAGCAGTTAAGGTCTGTAGAAACTACTTGTAAACTCTAGTGAAGGATACCTACCGTCATAAAGCAATGAACTGGACACCGGGAAGGTAGCAAAGAGAGTCCCCAAAATCCAGCTGGGGCAGCAGGGGAGAGCAAAGTCCCCTCCCCTGCTTCCCCAGCCGAACTGCGCCTGGGATACACTGGACCCTTTGCATTTTCAGCAACCATAAATTTCAATAAGCCCTTCAGCGGGAAGCGTCAACAAGCGGAAGTTCAGGAAGAACTTCATGGCACTTCGACGTGACTGCCTCAGGGCCGAACAAGGGAATAAATAAATTTCGCTTCAACGAAAAATTCTTACCGTACGGTTTTAGACAGGTATCTGCAGAGCACTGCTCGTCGTCCTGATGATATACAACCCGTGACCGTTTTCGCTCCTTCTTTGGCAGAATGCTTTCCAGAATTTCGCTTCCCACGTTTCAGTTTAACAAAAAGTGAAGGAAATGGAGATGAACGTGCAGGTCGATTTCGCATCTCCATCCAAGCCCTGTAAACTCTAGAACTCTAAGAGGTTGCCGATCAACAAAGCCGTCTTAGTTAAGCTGTTCCTGACAGGCAGTAGTAGGGATGATGGCTGGGGCGGGCGGTTGCTGCCGACGCCATTGGATGAAGGGCAGGATATAGCCAAAGGTCCTCACCCTTCCACCAATGACAATGGTAGCAACTGCAGCCTTCCGCTATGGTGTCCACTGCCTTTAAATTACCAAACAATGCTGTATACGTGCAAAAGCCTTCTTGACGCCTAGCAGGACTGGAAGCAGCAGCTCACGCTCTGTGAGGCGAGTGCGCTACGCCTGAGGCTGCTCTACCCACACTTGCCTCTAGGCTTGAAAGACATTCAGGTGGGAGAGTGAGAGCGCCCTGGTGGTATATCGGATGGCGCACTTGTCAGGAAGCGCGAGATGTGGGTTCAAGCTCAGCTTGGGTTCCCACTTTTGCTCATAACTCAGCACTGGTGATAATTTTCGGAACGCAAACTGCTACGCTGAACCGCAGCCATCATACTGAATCCCTTAAAAATTATTTCTTGAAGTTTTATATTATGATGACTGCTGGCCGCAGTTCGCGCTTCGAAAGCTACCACAAGAATGCTGAGTTATCGTTTGGATTTTATTTTAACTGATAGAACCATCATAATACCTCTTCTGCTGCGCTAAAATATCCGAGCAATTCTTCTGAATAAAGGAAACCACTTTTGGCAAGACGTCCATGTCGAGCACTTCACATGCTAACACAGACTCCACGACAGTCTGAGCTCTGTAAACGGTATTCAATAAATACGATTACTTAGAAATAGTAAATAACCGCTTCAATAACTGCTTTTTTATAAAAATGCTCCAACTTCCGGCTGCAACAGAATAATTACCTTTCTTCGAGTTCAACGCTCAATTCTTCATCATCACCAATAGAAGAGAGTACCGACATCGCATTACAAGATAATTCACGTCCTCGGGAAATCATTTCGCGAACAAGAGCAACCTGCATGAAGTGAGACTTTATTGTCTGTACGAGGTGCAAAGGGTACCCAAAAGCCTACCTCTAGCGAATTTTGAGGAGCTAAATTACATGCAGCTTGAACATCCTCGATGCATGGTCTTCGACCGCGTAGACACCTCACGCAAAGGTAGGCACACTCAGGGAGACGATCCAGGAAAGGATCCCATTCACAGCACGTACCTTTGAAAATGATTATTTAAGAAGACGCTGTCTACAGAAGC